CACCAAATGCATATCGGCTAATTATGCGAAATGACGTTTCCCTGCAAGAACGCTTGGAACTTTCGCGCAATGCCATCTACCGCTTCAGGAAAGCATTTCCGACCCTGAGTTGCTACATGATTCCGAGTCGTCGGGATGCACCCTATACCTCTTAGAAGTTCTGAAACGTTCAACTGAGACACCCTGTATAATTTTTTAACTGCTTTAATAAATGTGTTAATATTTATCTCTTTCAATGTCTCCCATAGTTTTGATGTTGGGATATTATCATATGCCTTTGTTAAGTGTATAAACAACAAATGAGTTTCCTGTCCTGTTCCTACTCTTTTTTTCCATAATCTATTTTATACAGAAAATATTGTCTATATATTATCTTCCTGTTCTGAATCTACTCTGCTCTTCTTTTGTTTGATATTCTTCTTCGATTAAATCTCTTATTATTCGTCCATATAATCTACTAAATGTTGCTGTTACTGTAATTCCTCGATAGGTCATACATTTTTGCTTCTTCTTTTTATACATAGATGTCTAAAAGCCAATTTTCCATTCTTTTGGAATGACTTCTTCATTAAGACACCCTTCGAATAATTTTGTTGTCATTCAAAATAATTTTTCTGTTTCATTTTTTATCAGTTTTGCCGGTATTCCTTCAGTTCAGTTTTGCTGTTATTCTTCAGTTTCTTACACGCTTGTTTAATCTGTTTTGTCTCTAAATGAATTGGTACATCCTTTTCTACGTTTATATCTTCTGTTATAAATTGAATTTTATCTTCTGTTAATAAATTTTTATAATATTCTTTCCATTGTTTAACTGAGATAAACTGTCCTTTATTGCTATTTCTTTCATTTCTAACATTTTTAAAGAATTTCCATACTTCAGTGCATTTTCTTCCTCCTATATATGCTTCTATTTCTTTACAATTTCTATCCCAACCGAACGTTTTCTTTTTCAGAATGAATGTTTTTGATGATTTTCTAAGTTCTTTATATCTTATTCTATCCTCTTTTTTTCGTGTTCATCCATTTTAAGTAAGTTACTTTTTTGTTGTTTCATGTTTTCTACCTCTTTGTCTCACAGAATTTTTTAAAACTTTTTCCATGTTTATTGATTTCTCCTAGAGCTTCATTTGTTGTTTTTATATTTTTGTATAAATCTATAGTGTTATCATATTCTTTTTCTTCCAATTTTTCATCTAATCTTGTCTGAAACAATCTTTCTCGTACTTTTTTTTGCTAAGTTTCCGAGATTAGATTTAAAATCTTTACTTCCATTTCCATTTTTTTCTTCTTTCTGTGTTTGTACAACTTACTCTTCTGTAAAGAATAATTATTTTTGCTCTTTTCAGATATTAGTCTGAGCCGCAGGTAACACCTTTCTGTGTTCTTCCATGTAAAATTTTAATTTTGGTTCTTTTTCTACGAATAACATAGTCAATAATTGATTTCCACTGCCTTGTATGTTGGGTTAAAGTATATTTATATCTTTACGTTTAAAAAATACATTTAAAGTAATTTGTATTAGAAAAGTCTATTAGTCGTCTTCCATTGTCATTCGTTACATTTTCTCCAAATTCTCCAATAATTTTGTTATTTCTCAATGATCCCGTTCTTGCGTTGACATCACCTGGTAACATTATTTCTCTTGTCTTCCCAGTTTCATCTATCACCTGTTGCATCCTGTTGTAGAACAAATCCTTACTCTCATGAGTTTCGTTCTCATTTGGTGCATAAATTCCAATGATAGTAATTCGTCTCCCGAAAATATTTAGGTTAACTATCATTATTCTTTCATCTATTCTTTCAAAGTTGGTAAAATTTCTCTTAAATTTCTTTCTATTATCACGGATACATCACATTTTGCTCTTTCTGCTTTTGGCACGCCAGAGTAAATATGTACAAAGTCTTCATTCCCGACCCTTTCTTTTTTGTTTTTGTTAAGTTCACAACGACAATTTTTATTCTTTTTACTTTTTAACTATGTCTTGTCCCTTTGGTCTGATCCCTTAACATTCCATGTAGACAAATTCATTGTCCGGTTATCTTTCCTTATTCTTTTACCATATAATTCATTCGGTTTTTTTCCTGGAGCTTTCTGTTGCGGTGCGATTTTTTTTACAGGAGATGGGGTGCAAACCTATCGTCCAAACCCCAAACCTAGAGGACCAGGGTAATTTAAATTTATTACTTTTCAAAAGTTTTTATTACCTGAAATTACTCTTGCGATACAAAATTCGTTCGGCTAATCCATTCCAATTTTGAAATTCCAATGAATTAGCCCGGAGAAATTAACCTTCGAAAATCGGCTGAAATTTCTGTGTAGGTATGTGGTCAGTCAGTGACTTTTAAACTGACATTAATTATAAAATGATTAATATTTCGCTTAATATCGTTAGTTAGCCTGACAGAATAGGTCATGTGATGAATTCTGCTCCGATTAAAGAATTATTATTTTTTGATAAATTGACGATAATATCACATAAGGTTTATGTAAAATAAATTACTTTTAATTCAACAATATATATATGCATACAATTACTGTAATGTTTTCTAAGTTAAAATATTCCAATTACAAAATGTAATACTGTAAACTAGCTACGGGAACAACAACTATAAAATAAAATTTTATATAAAACTTCATATAAACTTAAAATTTTATATTATAATAAAAATCTTTTTCATTATTATTGCCTTTTATTAGCTTTCGTTTTAAGCTATGAAGCGCAAAACACATTAAAGTTTACGAAAATTTGGCAACTTTACATTCGGGGTCAAACCAATATTTTAATCATAAAAATAACGAAATTTTAATGCTATTCTTATCACAGATTGTAATATTCAATGATTGATTTATAAAAACTGTAAGTATTACTTGCATAATTATATAATAAGGAAACCAAAGTTTATAATTTAAAATTTGTAAAAACACAATATTAATTTTTTTAAAAAAATAATATCAATCGACAAAAACAGGAATAAGAAATAATCGAAGTTGTTAATGTCTAATATTCCTCTTTTACAATATTATATGTCTATTTTAAAATATTGTCCAATTCTGTTATTATCTAGATAAATTATGAAGTTAAAAAAGTATTAATTTAATTTTCAAAATCATGCCAAATAATTTTATTAAAAATTTATGTTTTTAAAGAATAAATTCATTATTTAACAAGCAGAAGATTGTGATTTAGTAAAAGAATTAAGATATGTATGTTCTTGAGAATATATACTGTATATGTTTAGTCGATAAGTTAGAACACTCATACAATAACAGTATGTAACATTAAAATTATTAACACTATAATTACTATAAAGTATTTTAAAGTACAGCGAGCAATTATATATTGTGACATCATCACAATGCCTGGCTGCAATTATTAATCATATATTAAATTTAAAATATGTTTTCTACCTCAAATTAGTAGTGTCTTGCCCCTGTACATGTTATTTATCCTGTTAGCAAAAAACTCTTTGCCCGTCATCTATCTAACTTCTTCAGAGGGAAACTTGAATTTAAATGGCGTCATTTCCGGTGCAAAACGGGATTTCTTATATAGTTAATCGGGCCTCCCGCTGCTAAGCTTTCCATATCTGGTTTCGGCTTTCGTATATCTATATCCGTACTCGAGATTAATGAAGGAAGGACACAGAGAGCGAGAACTTATGTTTACTTTTTTTTTTTTAAATTGCAGCCCAATAACTTTCAGAGTGAAGATTTTTTGGAGTTCTGCGTTTTTCTTTTAAAATGTAATTAAAGAAAATACAGCCTGGCACGTATTTTTTTAAAATATATTTTGATTTTGAAGTCTACATGTTATTATAAAACTTCAAAAATGATATAGTAATAATGGTTGAATCCGGGAGTAACAGAATAAATGTAGCTTAAAGATGCATTTTTGTTTGGTATAGAGGAAAAGGTGGTATTATAGAACACTGCGGGTATTATGGAACTACTCCATTTCGAACTGATAATAAAGGCGAACTGTAGCGGATTGTGGCTGAACTGAACTAGGCAGACATCCATATCAAGGGGAAAACCCGTTTTACTTCAGTTAAACAGTTGTCCGTATTTAATCAGAAAATTTGTTTTATTTTTTTTTCAAAATTCGCAAGTTTTGAATGCTAAGTGAATTTAGTTATTTTTAAAATATAAATCGTGTAGTTTTAGGTTCACTGGTGCATGTATTCCGTTCCAGAGACTTAGGGGTACATATTAATCTGTGTGATGTTCACGTTTTTTAAATTTTGGTCTTGACAGACATAAATTAATTCAAGATGGCGATGCGTGAAATACGGACCTCATTGGTGCTTTTACAGTAATATGGAACTCAACTCCTCCGAATTCTCTCTTTGTAAGCAGACATTCGTCCGGAGCAATTTGTGAAAAAGACATTAGGTAGAAAGCCAATTCTTCCTGAGAATATCGAAAAAGAGCTGCTGGAATATATATTGTTGATGGAGGTCATATTTGTCTATTATAAAAGCATTTTTGCGATAAAATACATTGAAGTAAATAATTTTGTAATTATTTAAGATTTTTTGTACTTTCCTATTTGTTTTTGGCTATATTAAAGCATTTTTTGAAAATATACAGTAAGGTTCCCTATTACCACCCGATTTTCTCTAAGCCTACTTTCTGACTTTTTGTACAAAGCCTTCAAAAACCATACTTATAGTTATACTAGCGAAAAATCTAATTAGGAACATTTAGTTTAATAGTTACCAGTACTTTTCTCACAAAAATGTGGATGTAGCTATGATACCTTGTTTGCAATTCACTAAAATGTAATTGGGGTTCCATAATACCACCTCTATTTGTTGCTCCGCAAATAGAACCGATTTCCTTTAGATGTTTTGAATATAAATATCTATTAATATTATTCTGTTTTCAATGTCAAAATTTTACAAAAATTCGATAGTAAGTTCTTTTTTAAAATAGATAACAAGTATCTTTAAAAAATTTAAACATCACCATAACAAAAGTTTAATAATAATCTACATACCACAAGTTTTATTATCTGAATTCAATGTAAACCCTTCGTAACAACCGCATTTCTGCTTTTCATTCTCTATGAAACATTTCTGTTGACATGGCGTATCTCCCATTTTGCAATAGTTTTCTTTATTTCCTGAAAATATCTCAAAGTTTATAGTAATCATTTAAACAATTTATTAAATGAAATTTACAAAAAAATTATTTTAGTCAATATTATATATATAAAGATTCACCAATTGAATCTTGGTTTGATGACTTTTTAATTTAAAAAAGAAAGAAAATTTAATAAATTCCTTACCGGCACATTTTTTCGAACTCGGATTATAATAATAATCTTTATCACAGTCAAAACTATATACAGGTCTACCGAGTGAATCAGCTTTTACATTGCATATGGCGTATTCCCCATAACGTTTTTTACAAATATTTTCATTTACTGTAAAATTTTTACAAAATTAAATAAAACACGGAATTTATATTAGTATATAGTGTTATTTTTAAAAAAATATATAATTCCTATCTAATTTTATAAAACTTTGAAAATTTAAAATACATTTTGAATTTTAGTAAACATACATAAACGTGTAAAAATTTTGATTTCGTATTTTCATTAGTCAAAATTATAGCATAGTTTTCATTGCAAAACAAATATTTATATATTCCAGTTAAATTCTATAAATAGAAACATGTTATTATATACTTTCATTTTAAATAAATTTAAAACGAATTGATTAAACATGTCTCTTCGCGCATTATCCTAAACGAAAATGCCTAAATTATTATTAATAGAAAAAAGAAAAAAATTTAATAATTATTAGAAGTATTTTTACGATAATATATACTACTGTTAAAACAACGTAATAAATATACAGTAATTACATTAAAAATATATGAAATAGAATTTTGTACGTCATAATATGTAGCTGTTATACAGATAAATTTTGTTTTAGAAAATTGAACTTTATACTGCATACAAGTTTATATACGCTGTTGACCCCTCAACATAACGGAGTAATAACGTAAAATGATCTGATAATGCCGATGGTTCGTTGCATCCAAAGATGTTATTGCCAACTACAGTACGAACTTTATATGAGGTATGATAAAAGAGACAACCTGTATTATGATAAATACTAAGGTGATGTCTTTCAAGCTGAGACGTAAGCAATTGTTATCGACGCACTGCCTACTTTATATCAGACGTCGACTAACAAGACCAATTTGATATTCTCGAATGCTATATTTTCATTTTGACAGATGCTTTGGAACAAACGAATTTGGAGTGTTCTTTCCAAACACATTTATTCGAAATATATTCGGAATATTGTTTTCATAATGTACAAGACAGTAAACTAGAAGTTGTACAGTATATATAAATATCTGATAAATATATTTTACAGAATTTTTACTAATGCTATTCGAAATACAGTATGTTAAGTAATTCAAAATAAAAAATCACTTGATCACTTACCAACACAGTTTGTGCCATTGTCTTTTAATTCCCCCATACACTTGCATTCTCCTCCTGTACATTTTTTAAATGCATCACATACTTTACCTAAACATTTATCAATATCTATACAAAAATAAATCGGAATTTTATAAACTTTTATATAGCGACCTCTTATAAGCAATAAAGATACTTTTACATGAAAACAATTTACCTGAACATTTTTTATTTAAATAATCGTAATACTGTGTTTTCTGAGGGCAATTGCATTCGGTTGCATAAGTATCTTCAATTGGTATACATTCAGCATCACCACTACATACTTCGTCATTACATTGACCTCTAACTGAAAAAGTTTATGTATTAAATTAAACTTTTGAAACTTTACAAATTAAATTGAATTCAATGTAAACAGAAAAACAGAAACAAACTTCGACATCTTCTTTCATTCCTGTCAAAATAATAATCTTTATGTACGCAGTAACATGTGATATTTTTTGATTCTACTTTGCATTCTGCGTTAGTTTTGTTGCAAAATTCATTCCATGTCATTTTAGTTTCATCTTCAATTGTTTCACAACGATCTGGAAGAAAAAGTTTATGAGTTATTCATAATATTTATTTCAAGAATGTAATGTCCATAAATACACATGTTTATTATTTATAATTAAATTACTTTTATAGAAATTGCTATTTTCTTATCTTACTATTTTGGTATTTACGTGTATTATCAATATATAATTTTTAAAATATTCTCTGTTTTAATTACGTACTATTAAATTAAATTGCATTTTACTTTCTGGGCTATTATATATAACAGAATGAAAGTATGACAATCGATCAAATAATCATCCCGAAGATTTTTACACTTTTTGACTCAGGACACCTTACAATGTCGAGAAATTGAAGAAATCCAGAGTTTTTCTGTATGTATAATTTTTAAAGTGTTTGTGTGTATGCGTGTGAGTGTGAGAGTGTGTGGGAGGAAACGATTTTGTTCACTCTGTTTGAAGTTTAATAAATCCCGTTCTTTTTGTCAAAAATTTCTGAAGTTTTGCAGGGAGGTTCGCATATTAGAGTGGTTGATGCTGTTAAATTTTGATGGTTAAAGATCGGGATGACAGATAAAGGAATGTCGTATATCATATCTCGAGTAGGGTCGGACTTATTGACGATTTTCCTCGTTCTTAGCATTTGCAAATTTTTTTATAAAAAATCTTTATCCTCATCTTTATCCTCAAAATTAAAAATATAATAAAATATAACAACGAGCCACGCACACAGTTTTAGATGTTGCCTGGAAAATTAAGTCACTTGTTGCTGGATTATTTTATGTTCATTTCAGATAAATTCACACAAGAAGTCATAGTAAATCAACGTATTATGTATACATACAAGAGGTTCAAAAGCAGGTATTCATTTTTTGTCTTAAAATTCGCACGCGAGAAAAACAGAAAAGAAAAAACATTCACTTATATGCATAAATTAAATCACAAGAAATAAAAAATAAAAAATAACAATAAACATCAAATATCTGTATTTTTCAGAGTCACAGCTGTATGCCTATTTTTGCACCCTCTTTATATAAAAGCCATTGAAAAAGGTTTCAAAGACTAAACTATTATTTTACAGCAATTTCTTATGCAAATTAGTTTGGGATGGTCGCATAGGTGAAGAGAACGTTACTGTTTTAGATTTGCGTAATAGAATCCTTAAAACTTGAGCAGAAAATCTAGGCAATGAATCGTTTTTCGATACATGGGAAGGTTGTCATCGCGATGTATTTAGCTTTATAATTGAATTGGGTCAAGAGATGCGTAGAAAGTTAAATCCACAACTAGACGAGCGAGTTTGTGGCTGACTTACCAGGAATCAGACAGAGGACTCTCGACATCAAACTCCAGTGAACAAGAGATAAAGTCCAGCAACATCAAGTGAAACCAACCTTCGAAGAGTCAAATAGGCAGTCTTGAAGTCTTCGAGGAGTTCTATCAGTAAAATTAACTAGAAAACTAGAGTATCGGAAGCAGACTATCTAATTTTTGCATTCGAAAACTGTAGCATCGTATCCATGTGTTCCAACGATTTTTCCTGAAAACGATCAAAATAGACCTGAAGTGGTAAAGGTAATTCTCAATCTAATCGAAGAGAAAGTTATAGATAGTCGATTTGTATTGTTTACAGATGAACTGCACTTTCATCTAAACGGATATATCAATCGACCAAATTATCAATTTTCGGCAACCGAACCCCCAGAAATTCGTAAAAATTCTGCATTCTCAGGAAACAAACAACTGTCTGCGTAGCAACGAGTTACCAAGGCACGAATGCACCGATATTCATCAACCAAACCATTAATAAACTACTGTTTATTCCAGCATTTTCGAGAATAGAGTTTTATCATTTTTCATCAAGTTGTCATAAAGTACTGTACATTAGCTTGTCATCCCAGTGATTGTATCATAATGAATTTTACATTCCGTGGCAGCGTTTAGCAGAGAGATTTTACAAGTAAACATATGCATTTCATGATTACAGAAACACTTTACAAATATTTGCGGTTCAATTTCACACAAGTGTTCAACGTTAGAAAAAGTTATGCACAGATTGCAGGAAACAGAAGACTCGTCGCAAAACGATTAAACAGATTGCACGAATGATCGGAAGGATTTCACCTTAAACGTGGCAGAAAACACGACTTATCATGCAGAATAGAGAGATCGAATACCACAATTTAATGGAATGATTTCACCAAATTATGGACAGATTAGTATGTTGCTCTCGCGAAAATTATTTTTCTTTTATTCTGTCGCGTTATATACTGTACATGTATGTAAGAAGTAACACACACTAAACAATACTGCATAAAGAACTAAATTATATTTGCTATTATTCCGACTTCGAAAATTCAGTGTATCGCTGATATAAAGGCGGACATAAATTATATAAAACGAATACTTCTCAATTTGACAGAAAACTGTAGAATTTTAACAGTTAATGTTTGATGAATTTATACTAAACGTAATGCATTATATGCTATCTGGAGCATAACTCTCATATGCAGGTAATAATGTAAAATTCAATGTCCTAATTTACTCTAGCGTCAATGACACATCAACTCATCAGTTGTAGGTTAAGGTGTAACATTGTAGTATATGCTTTTGATTGCGGAGAAGTATTTCTCTATAGTAGGGGTTTCCAACTTGTGTTTCGCCGAACCCTGGGGTTTCACAATAAAATCAGTTGAATCTAGTAATGTATGAATGTCCCTATGCAGATTTGAAACATGAGGTGTAATTGTTATAGTCTCGGACCGAATTCTCTTATGTGAAACGCCGGGGAGGTCGGGGTCAGTCGTACCTCCCTGTTCGGCAACAGGTCGTTAAACCTGCTCACTTGCCAAGATGGCTAAATTACGATAATGGTACCGAGGGTTGGGACGCTCATATGTCGATCGAGTGGAGAGGGAGTATTTGGGGTCGACGATAAGGTGAAGGCCGTATACGAGTAAATGAGTCTACCATTTTAATAAGTAAAACAAGAATTTATTAAAATAAATCAAATTGACAAAACGACTACACAGATCTCGACACTAAACCGCCTAAGAGCTCGAGAGAGAGAAGTTACACGCTTTCTCATACCTCTTTGCAGGTTTCCTTGACGATTAAGTCCATGTAGACACAAAAATATCCAATAATAGGTGTCTTTAATCCAAATGAGCACAAATAGGCCTATATATAAATTTGCGACTCTCGCGACGAAAGGATATCGATGTTCGAGGATTAGAATTTCGGCGGGTTCGGAGATTCGACTTGATGTCGTCGGTCCGGCTTTCGTTAAGAGACTCCCCTGAGAGGGGTAGGAAACGTCTTTTATAGCTTTTTGCTGGGAAAATCGGTCACGTGATCGGATGTTATATGAGATTAAGGTTATAGGTGTTTCAGGAACCTAAAACAAGTGACGAAATTTGGATCCAAACTATAAACTTTTGTGCAAGTCGAGCTGCAAGTTATGTGAAAACAATAGAATGTTGATAATTATGAAAGGAGGGTTTTTACATTTCCAGCTAAGATCATTTTTTCTTCCAATTCGTTATATAAACATAAGTAAAATAATTAAAATTTTACTTAATGAAATTCCGGATCTCACACTTATGATATCCTATACACGTGCTAGAGTTATTTATAGCTTTATAAACAGTGAGGACCGATTTATTGGTAATTGAAATCGTTATATAATGTTTGAAAAAATAATAAAAATCATAAAAACGACAACACTTATCCTAAAGCTAAAAAATCATAAAGAAAATAACCCTAAAGGTATCCAACATATAAATCAAAAGTCACGGCGAGTAAAAAAGTCACTGACAGACTATATAGGGGAGACCGGGGCAAGATCGGCATGTTAAGCTTTACTTAAATTTTGTGTAATAAATACTGCTGTAAACTGAATAAAAAAGCTTTGCATATTGTCTATTGGAATGTTACCTTACTATAAAACTGGTTAAAATCAGTTTAGAAATAAAAATAATTAAAATAATTACAACTTTACAAGAAGAGAGAAATTGACGAAGTTGCCCCGGGTATAGGGGCAAGATCGGCAACTTCTCTCTTTTTGTAAAGTTGTAATTATTTTAATTATTTTTATTAAAGTTGCCCCTGGTATAGGGGCAACAGTAATGGGG